CAAAAAAAAAAAAAAAAAAGAACAGGGGTGATAGAAACAGGGCTATAAGGAAAATGAAAAACAGAACAGAGCTAAAATTTATAACTTAGAAAATGCCAGGCACTCTTTTATGTGCTTTATAGGTATTAATCCATTTACTCTTTTACAAAATCCATGAAGTACTATTCTTATCTCTATTTACAAAAGGGATGCTGAGGCACCATATATATATATATAATAATAATAATATAATATAATAATAATATAATAATATAATAATAAAATATATATATATGGTACCTCAGCATCCCTTTTGTAAATAGAGATAAGAATAGTACTTCATGTTATATTATTATATATATATTATATATATATTATATATATATGGTGCCTCAGCATCCCTTTTGCATTACATATATATATATATAAAATCCATTATTATATATATAATCCATTTTGCATTTATTATATATATAAATGTATATAATAAATTATATATATATTATATACATATAAGTAATACAAAATGGATAAAAGATTTAAATGTAAGACATTAAATCATGAAACTACTAGAAGAAAACTTAGGGAAATAGCTTTTTAACATTGGTCTGGGAAACTATTTTTTTGGATATAACACCAAAAACACAGGCAAAAACACAAATAGACATGGGTGACTGCATCAAACTAAAACGTTTCTGAACCTCAAAGGAAACAATCAACAGAGTGAAAAGGCAACCTACAGAGTGGGAGAAAAATATCTGCAAATCATATAATTAATACAGACTTAAGCTACAAATATATAAGAAAGTCCAACAGTAACAAAAAGCCTAATACCCAGTTAGAAAAAGGGCTAAGTACTTGAGGAGACCTTTCTCCAAAGAAGACCTACAAATGGCCAACAGGCATATGAAAAGATGGTCAACCTCCCTAATCATCAGGAGAATGGAAAGCAAAACCACAATATCACCGCACACTTATGAAAGAAAGAAAGAAAGAAAGAAAGAAAGAAAGAAAGAAAGAAAGAAAGAAAGAAAGAAAGAAAGAAAGAAAAAGAAAAACACAGTGTTGTCAAGGATGTGGGGAAATTAGAACGCTTGCACACTATTGGTAAGAATATGAAATGGTGCAGCTGCTATGGAATACAGAATGCATGTTGCCCCCAAAATTAAAAATAGGATCTACCAGTCGTACTTCTGAGTATTAAGCAAAATAACTGAAATTAAGATCTTGAAGAGATGTTAACGTTCCCATGAGCATTGTAGCACTAGTCACAATAACCAAGATGTGGAAATATCCATCAACAGATGAAAAGATAAAGAAAGCATGGTATGTTCATACAATGGAATACTTTTTAGCCTTACAAAAGAAGGAAATTCTGCAACAAGGGATGGCATGGATGAGCCTTGAAGACATTATGCTAGGTGAGAGAAATCAGTCTCAGAAAGACAAATATTGCATGATTCTGCTTATACGAAGTATCTCAAATAGTCAAATTTATAGACTTGAAGAGTGGAAATGTGTTTGCTAAGAGCTCGGGAAGGGGGAAATGGGGAGTTACTAATCAATGAGCATAAAGTTTTAGTTAAGCAAGATAAATAAGTTCTAAAGATCTGCTGTACAACACTGTACCTATAATACCATGTTGTATATTTTAAAAATTGTTAAGTAGGTAGATCTCACACTGTATTCTTATCACAATAAAATTCTGAAAAAAATTATTCATTTTCATCAAAAGACACTACTAATGTGAAATGTAGTCATAACACAGAGCTGGGGAAGATATTTGTAACATATACAACAAACAAAGGGGCTTCTATTCGAAATCTATAAAGAATTCCTGCCAATTCATAGGAAAAAGACAGATGACCCAATTAAAAATGGACAAAAGATACCCTAACAGGCATTTCGCAGTAGAGGAAATTCAAGTGACCAATAAATAAATGAATAGATGCTCAACAGAATTTCTCAAAGAATGAAAATGAAAACCACAAGGAAATACATCTACATATTCAAAGAAAGGCTTACACTAAGAGACAACACCAATGTTTGTGAGGTGAAGCGACTGAATCCCTCATATTGTTTTGCTGAGGGAATAAATTGGGAAAACCACTTTGGGAAACTGGCAGTAAGTACCAAAGTTTAATATATGTGTACCTTGGGGCCAAGCAATTTAGCTTGATGGTATATACCCAAAAGAAAGGCATGGATATGCACACTAAGAGACTGGACAAGAAGATTTATAGAAGTCATATTTAAAACAGTAAAAAACTGAAACCAACCCAATTGTCTATCGACCATAGCAATGATAAATAAAGTGTTGTATTTTCATATCCTGGAGTACTGTGAGATGAACGTGAGCAAATAATAGCTTTACGCTACCACATAGATGAATCTCACAGAAATATTGAATGAAAGAAGACATATCTTCTTAATGGTAAAAAAAAGAAGACACATAAAAGAGTACACAGTGTATGCTTATACTTCTATAAAATGCAAAATCAGGCAAAAATAAACTATAAAGTTTATAGCTGGAAAGAAGAGAGGGTGGTAGTGATGGGAATGAAGGCATAGGAGGAAGTTTCTAAGGATACAGTAACATCTACTTGACTTGAGGGATGTGTTACATGGGTGTGTTATCTTTTATTTCATTGAGCACTTATGATTTATACATTTTCATGTATGTTACAGTTCAGCTTTTTTAAAAGGGGAAAAGTTTTTGCTCCAAGAAGTCTTGCTTTTTCTCAAAGTGAAAGGTTACTCTGGAAATGAAATCAACACTTTGCTTGGATCAGATTATTAAGGAACTAGGGTTTCCCTGCCAAACTCCTTCATACTTTTAGAATAAAGACCAATCTTGCCAGATCAACCACTTAAGTGAAACCAGAAATCCATATTTTCATTTGAAAGCCTCCACTGTTTAACTATCAACAACACATTCACTACTGTTTTTTTTTTTTACCACTGTTTAAATAGTCCAAACAAAATGTATCTGTAGCTATATGAAGCCCCAGAACTCCACTTTTTAAAAAATTGTTTTTAATGTTTTATTTATTTCTAGGAGAGAGAGAGAGAGAGACAGCGTGAGCAGGGGAGGGTCAGAGAGAGAGGGAGTCACAGACTGAAACAGGCTCCAGGCTCTGAGCTGGCAGTCAGCACAGAGCCCGACGCGGGGCTACAAGCCACGAACCGCGAGATCATGACCTAAGCGAAAGTCGGATGCTTAACCGACTAAGCCACCCAGGCGCCCCCCAGAACTCCACTTTTGACTTATGGACAGAGAATGCCTTCTCTAGGAGGTATTCTTAGCTTCTTACCATACTTAAGTTTCCAAAGACACTAAGAAAGTCACTCCAGCCAATTACCCACTGTTTCCAGAAATGGATTTTTTCCCCCTGAATTCCTGCCTTTTCCCCCATCTCTCCTAAAAAGCAGAGACTGGACACCACAGATTTCCATGTCTTTTTCTTACAGTGGGATAGAAAGGAAACATTTTTTAAAAAATTATTAACATTTATTCATTTTTTTTTGAGAGACTGAGCGTGAGTGGGGGAGGCGCAGAGAGAGAAAGAGGAAGACACAAAATCTGAAACAGGCTTTCTCTAAGCTGTCAGCACAGAGCCCGATGCAGGGCTTTGACTCACAAACTGTGAGATCATGACCTGAGCCAAAGTCAGCCAGTTAACCAACTGAGCCACACAGGCGCCCCCAAAAAGGAAACACTTTTGAAGGGCAAGGAGAGCTGAGAACCATGGGTAATTGCTTTTTTCTTTTTTCCTCCACAGGAATTTCCCTGGAATGATCTCTTTTGGATTTGTGTTTTGGATTCCCTAATAGACCCTAATATCTAACCATTCACCCTCCTCCTAAGGATATCTCACCCTGCAATGGCTGCCTCTGGAGTCACAGGAGACACAGGTAAGGAGACTGAGCTTCCCTTAGTTGCAAAAAACACAGTGACTAGAGCCAGTGACTAGAGGCAGTGGAGGCAAGGGAGGTACTCCCCCAAGCCAGAAAAGACCAACCCCACAGAATCCTGCACCTCATAAATGGATCCATGAAAGCCTAGACTTTTCTCTTAAATACTCAGTATGAACCATGGACCCAGGGTTCCGCATAAAACAATAAAAGTTTAGTAGGCCTTTGCAACATTAAAGAGTGAGCTCACTTTGGTAACTTCCCAAGAGAAGGCATGGAAATTGTTACACAGCATACATGCATGTTCCCGCCTGATACTGCAAATTCTTCTAGGCCCCGTGTCTCGCAAAATCTGACTTTCTAAATTCTAGTCCCTCAACCACCCCCACCCCCACCCTCGAATCCTGGAGTCTCACTTTCTGTCCTTTGGGAACAATATAACTTCCTGTAAATAGGCAAATTCCATTCTGGTGTGCCCAAACCCAATCCCCCACTCCCACTCTGGTTCTTTGCACAAAGCTCGCTTACCCATCTGAGGAATTACCTTTTTCACTGTTGTAGGTTAACCTCAAGCAAGGTTAAATACTAACATGCTATTTCTGCTTCTGTAAATCCGCTTGGCAAGCCTGTACTTCCCTGTTCTGGCAGACCACACCCATACCCTGTACGTAAGGTTACAGAACACCACATCACCATTCTACCCTGGTAGTCTATCACGTAGTCACTACCCCATGGCTTCTCAAATGTCTAGTTACAGTCGGTCATTTCAAGACAAAGAACTAAAATTGATAGATGTCTGCCAAAACTAACACCTGAGTGTCAAAATGCACTTGGTTACCATAGTATGCTGTAGAATATAATTGGTTAACTAAATAATGACATATTCTGCCTTACTGAGATCCATATAAGCTCACTGCCACCTTTGTTCAGGGCCATTCTCTGCATTTCTCCATGAGATGAGATCAGGTTTGGCCCAGCCGTAAATAAAATTTTGCCTCTCTTCTATTCGGGCATTTGGTGGTCTCTTTGACAATCACCCTGTTTTCATTCACAACAGTTTTAGATAATAATTCACCATATCTAAAAGCCATCCGGAGAGAATTTACATTTTGTCATTCATTTGTAAATTTTCACAAAAGGTATTTGGTGTTCATTGTAGTTGTTTTATTGATATATTGTGACTATAACAGGAGGGCTTTGGCATGACAAATTCCCACTATAGGAAGAGAGATTTACCTGAGAGAGTCAGAGTGGACTATTCTGGAGAACAATATTAGCAAGAAGAGCAGATAGAAGAGGCAGCTACCACTCCTAGGGCTGAGATCCAGATCTTTTGGAGAGGACTCAAGTCACGCCCCATGGATCGACGGAGAAGTCACCGTGGTGTCAGAATCTGCTGTAAATCTACCCTCTGGAAACTGCTGGAAATACATTAGTGTTTTAGGGTGCCAGTGAGAGACATTCACGGGGAACACCAGGTTAAATGCAAAAAACTGCACCCAGCTGAGCCAGGTGCTGAGCCAGTCATCTAAAGCATTTGCCAGCTACCTCAGCTCCCTGGATGTGTTATGAGCCACACCCACCCAGATCTTGTGTTACAATTTGGTCCAATTTTAGCCCCCTTGGCCACTTCACAACAATTCTCAAGCTGCAACTTTTCCAGTGCCCACTTCCACAAGCAAATTTCAGGTCTTTTTCAATATTTAGGGCCATGTTTATTGTAGTGTGCTACTGTTTTATTAGGTTCATATCTTTTTTTAATGTGTCACTGACAAAGTTTTTGAGGATTATGCCCATTTTTCCCCTAAACCCTGTGGTTTTCACTGTGTGATTTTGTAATTTTTAGGAAAGCGTATGTTGTGTTATTGCAGAATTGATTGCTTATACAACTCTAGGCTAAAACATTTTAAAATATTGGTGAAACGGGTGATTTTCTAGGAAATTTTCAAAATTGATATAAGGGGCGCCTGGATGGCTCAGTCAGTTGAGGATCCAACTTCGGCTTAGGTTATGATCTCATGGTTCGTGGGTTCGAGCCCTGCGTTGGGCTCTGTACTGACAGCTAGCTCAGAGCCTGGAGCCTGTTTCAGATTCTGTGTCTCCCTCTCTCTCTGACCCTCCCCTGCTCACGCTGTCTCTCTCTCTCTCAGAAATAAATAAAAACATTAAAATTTTTTTTAAAAATTGATAACAAAAAGAAGTTAAAATCAACAGAAACAATTTTTAATTTTCTAGGAATGAAGTTACAAAAGTATAATATGTATGTGAATTCAACTTCAAAACTTTACTAAATGACATGGAAAAAAAGTTAAATAAATAGACATATGTTCTTGGACAGGAATACACAGTATTATAAATACATTCACCTTAATGCGATTAAGAGTAAAATTCCAAAGGGTTATTTTTTTTTAAGATTTTATTTTTAAACAATATCTACACCCAGCATGGGGCTCAAAATCACAACTCCAAGATTAAGAGTCACACATTCTACCAACTGAGCCAGCTATGAGCCCCCAAAGGGGTATTTTTAATCTAACAAAATAATCAGAGTTCATCTGGGAGAAAATGTTAAAAAATCACCAAGAAAACGCTTAATGAGGTACTTTGATCTTAAAATGTGTACTAAACTAAATGTGCTCTAAACTACAATAGATAAAAAACCATATTATACTGAAAACAGACTAGAGAGACTAATAAAACTGCAAAATTCGACTACATGCTAGAGAGAAAGCCTGGCCTCAGACCAAGCATAGTAATCAGCATATGATAGAGGTAGCATTTCAAACCAGTGCAGAATAAAGACATTATTCGATAAATGGTATTATGATAATTTGGGTAAAAATTTTTAATTAAAGTATTAAAATTTTGATAAGACAAAAAACCTATTATTTTTTGGAACTAAAAATTTACTTAATCTTGCATTGGAAAGGACTTTTTATTGTAGTACAATATACATAACATGAAATTTATCATTTTAACATTTTAAGTGTACAATTCAGCGACATCAAATATATTCACAATATTGTGCAACCGTCACCACTATCTACTTCCAGATCTTTTTAATCACCCTAAAGAAAACCCCATATCCATTAAGCATTCATTCCCCATTTGTCCCTCTTTCCCACTAGCAACCACTAACTTTCTGTCTGTATGGATTCACCCATTCTACACATTTCATATAAATAGGAATGTATGATTAATAGACTTTTGTTTTTGGCTTCTTTCATTTCATGTAATATTTCCAAACTCCTTCATGTTTCAGCATTAATCAGGACTTCATCACTTTTAACAGCTGAATGATATTCCATTGTATAGATATACTAGTTTTTGTGTGTCATTCATCAGTTGATGGACATTTGAGTTGTTTTCACCTTTTGGCTATTGTGATTAACTGCTACAACCATTTGGGGTTTTTTTAAAACATTTATTTTTTATTTTTTAAATGTTTTTATTTATTTTTGAGAGAGAGATAGAGATAGCATGAGCAGGGGAGAGTCAGAGAGAGAGGGAGACACAGAATCCAAAGACAGGCTCCAGGCTCTGAGCTAGCTGTCAGCACAGAGCCTGACGCAGGGCTCAAACCCACGAACCGTGAGATCATGACCTGAGCTGAAGTTGGACACTTAACTGACTGAGCCACCCAGGCACCCACTGCTACAACCATTTGTGTACATTTTTGTGTGGTGGACATATGTTTTCAATTCTCTTGATTTATGGATTTTAGGAGTGATTTCCATTTCTGCAAAAAGGCCATTGGGATTTTTATAAGGATTGCATTGAACCTGTAGATCACTTTGCAGTATGATAGATAGTATGGCCATCTTAACCACATTAAGTCTTTTAGTCCATGAATATGCATGTCTTTCCATTTATTTAGATCTTCTTTGATTTCTTTCAGCAATTTTTTTTGGTAGTTTTTGGTGTATAAGTCTCACACCTCCTTCGTTAACTTTTTTTCTAAGTATTTATTCTTTTCATGTATTATAAATGGTATTGTTCTTTAAATGTCCTTTTTAGATTAACTGCTAATGAATATAAATACAACAGATTTTTGTGTGTTGATTTTGTGTCCTGCAACTTTGCTGAATTGGTTTATTAGCTCTAATAGTGTTTTTGTGGATTCTTTTGGATTTTATATATGTATGTATAAACACTATATATATACACACACACATATACATATACAAACGCACATATATATACATAATTATGTCATCTGCAAATAAGTATAGTTTTACTTCATTTCCAATTTAGATGTGTTTTGTTTTTCTTGCCTAGTTGCTCTGGCTAGAACTTCCAATCCAAAGCTGAATAGAAGTAGTAAAAGCAGGCATCCTTTTCTTGTTTTTATCATGAAAGTGTTGGGTTTTGTCAAATGCTTTTTTTGCATCAGTTGAGATGATCGTGTGGGGATTTTCTCCCATTTTTTTCTACTATTTTGGTATATTACAGTGATTGATTTTTGTTAAGTTGAACATCTTTGCATTCCTGGGATAAATCCCACTTTGTCATGGTATATAATCCTTTAAATATGTTGCTGGATTTAGTTCACTAATACTTTATTGAAGACTTTTGCATCTATGTTCATAAAGAATATTAGTTTGCAGTTTTCATTCCTTGCAATGTATTTTTCTGGCTTAGTTATAAGGATAATGATGGCTAACAGAATAAATTAGGAAGTGTTTCTTTCTTTGCTATTTAAAAATTTTTTTAAATAATGTTTTGTTTATTTTTGAGAGAGAGAGAGAGAGAGAGACAGTGTGAGCAGGGAGGGTCAGAGAGAGAAGGAGATACAGAATCTGAAGCAGGCTCTAGGCTCTGAGCTAGCTGTCAGCACAGAGCCCGACGCGGGGCTCGAACCCACAAACTATAAGACCATGCATGACCTGAGTTGAAGTCAGACGCTTAACCAACTAAGCCACCAAGGTGCCCCATCTTTCTTTCCTATTTTTTGAAGGAGGTTGAGAAGAACTGGTATTCATAATTCCTTAAGTGTTTGGTAGAACTTTTCACTGGATAACACCAGTAAAGCCATCTGGTCCTGGACTTTTCCTTTTGGGAAGGTCTTTGATTACTGATTCAATCTCCTTAACTTGTTATAGGTCTATTCAGATTTATTTCCTGTTGAATCAGCTTTGGTACATGTGTGTTTCTAGGAATTTGTCCATTTCATTTAGATTATTTAATTTGTTGCCAGGCAACTGTTCAGAATATTCTTATAATCTTTTTCTTTTTCCTGTAAGGTCAGTAGTAATGTCATCTGAAACTCATTTCTGATTTTACTTATTTGAGTCTTCTCTCTTTGTTTCATAGTCAGTCAGGCTAAAGATTTGTCGATTTTGTGGATCTTTTCAAGAAACCAACTTTTGGCTTAATGAATTTTCCCTATTATTTTTGAATTCTCTACTACTCTATTTTGTATTCTCTATCTCCACTCTAATGTTTCTTATTTCCTTCCTTCTGTTCTCTTTAGGTTTAGTTTGCTCTTTTTCTAGTGTGTGTATGTGTGTGTGGGGGCTGCTTTCTAAGCCTGACACTGAAGGACAAAATCATAAAAAAAGCTTGACAGCTTAATTACAAGAAAAAACCTTAACTTGTATACATCAAAAAACACACGAATAAAAGACAAAAAGCAAGCTGAAAAAAACATTTGAAACCTGTGTCAGACAAAGGTTAACATTCTAAGAGCTCCTATAAGCAGTAAAATGAACATCCTAGCAGAAAAGTGGGCAATTGACAGACTTAAGAAAAATAATCCTAATGGTTACTAAACATATAATTAAATCCTCAATCATAATTGTAAAGAAATTAAAATAGGGGCGCCTGGGTGGCTCAATCAGTTAAGCGTCCAACACCTGGTTTTGGCTCAGGTCATGATCTCACAGTTCCTGGGATGGAAGCTCACATCAGGGTCTTTGGTGACTACATGGAGCCTGCTTGGGATTCTCTCTCTCCTCTCTCTCTCTCTCTCTGCCTCTCCCCGCATTCTGCTTCCATCTCTGTCTCTGTCTCTCTCAAAATAAATAAACATTTAAAAATTTTTAAAGGAAATAAAAATAAAAGACATAATATTTTTCTGTTTTTTTTGAGGTGAAATTCACATAACACAAAATTAGTCATTTTAAAGTGAGCAATTTAGTGGCATTTAGTACATTCACAATGTTATGTAACTACCACATCTATCTAGTCCCAAAACATCTTCTTCACCCCAAAAGGAAACCTAGTACCCATTAAGCAGTTACTCCTCTCCTCTCCCCCAGCTGCTAGCACCATCAATATATTTTTCCCCCAGTCAAAGAGGAAATAAAGCAGTGATAATGCACATTTCTGTATATCAGAATCACCTGGGAAGCCTCAAAAATTCCAATACCCAAGGTTACATCCCAGACCAATTAAATCAGAATTGTTGGGAGTGGGACCA